TGAAAGAATCTCACAGAAAAGTCGAGAGCAGCTGAATTGTTTTCTGCCCAGAGACGTAAATCTGTTTGTGTTTCTGTCCAATCAGAACCTCCCCCCCCCAGACGCTCACACACGAAATAAAAAAAACATTTCACCAGTTTAACACGAAACAACAACTCAACATTATTATTATTCACATGGAAACTCCAAGAGAAAATTTTTATTCAGAAATAGTAATTCGGAATTTAAAAACCTCATGTAAACGTGGCCATTGTTTTGGATTAGTTCTTGGACACGACCAAAGACGATGTGCCAGATTTCCCGTTTCTATTTTCTATTTTTGGTAGAAAGATTATTTTTATATTTGTGAGATCGGGGGAAAGTTAACCAGGCGCTGGGGGAGAAAGAGTCCAGTGTCCGTCTGCAGGTGTGAGCGAGTCCGAGGAGCAGGGAGGGACATGCCCAAAGGTTAGCATCACACAGCCCCGGGGCGTCTGCGGCGGCGGCGAGGGCGGGCGGGGGGCGGGGCGGCGAGGGCGGGGGGGGTCGTAGCAGGTGCCCGCGCTGACAGTAGCTCTTCACAGCTCGGCGCCCTCTCCCCCGTCCTCCCCCGGCGGCCGTCAGTCCTCTGGAGGCTAATTGTGCGTGATTGGCCGGCGAGCGGAGGGAATCCCCGCTGACTCACACGCGGCCGGATCACTGGGGCGGGGTCAGAGGTCGCGGCGCTGCACACTTCCTGCTGTCTGCGCACGCCATGGAGCTAAACTCACATGTGGGGACCATGTGGGGAGCAGGAGGCGCCGATCACACTCGTGCGGCGGCGTGTTTCGGGTCACGCACGTTTGACTTTTCAGGTTCTTCAGGAGAGTTTCAGCTGGTTTTCACTCTTTTTTTCTTTCTTTTTTTTTTTTACCTTTTCTCGCTCTGGTGGAGGTTTGTCAGAGTCTTGGTGGTCTTTGATTGTTCTGGGAGTTTGAGTTTGAGTTTGAATTTCACACACGATCAAAACTGAGACAGAACCCAGAACCAAACCAAGTCTAGAACAGGATTAGATTTGCCTGATTAGTGCTTCCCACATTCAGTTTCAGAGCAGAATAAAGTTAAACAACAGACAAACGTGGGACGGTCCAAACACACGAGTCTCAAATACAGAAGACGTCTCCTCTCTAAAACTCTAACATTCAGAACAAAATACATAACATCTTACACCTCAGATTAATAAGAGTTTGGAGCTTCGATTGTTGATTCTACAGAAGTTCGTGTCTTCTGTTTCTCACTCGTCTGCGTTGTTGTTTTTTGTTTTTTACTTGTAAGTCTCCACGTTTGACCACACAAACAGACCGTGTGTTTCGCCGACTGACAGGTTAATCTGAACTGTCAGTCACGTCCAGGGCACGGCAGGGAAATACAAACATCTCGGTATGTGAACGAAGAAAAGAAAACAAGACGCACACCAACGGAACGGAACGAGTTAAACGTTCTGAAACATCAAATAACAAAGCAGCCAAAACAACGTTCTAAAATGTATCAAGAGATTAAGTCTGCACTCGCACACTTTAGGACGAGTCGCCCCTAAAGCGCCGCACGTTTGTCCAGTCGATTAGGACTCGGTTGGGGGAGGTCGGCCAAAGCTCGACACGGAGCTCGTGTGCTGTATTTAACGGATGATTAGTCTCTCTGGGTTATAAGACGCACTGTCATTAAATGGTCTATTTTTGAACTTTTTTCACAAATTAAACCTCGCACTGGACTTTAAGTGAAACCCAACAGTGTGATGGGTGAGTGGTTTTGTTTGTTTGTTCGTTCACGGTGACTCTGGGTTTTGTTCAGTTGTGGCGTGTAGGGAGGGTGTGTCTGGATTGTCGGCGTGTTCGCACTGACTCAGTTGTTCAGTCGTGTCTAGAAGCGGCACATTGCGCTCGTCGCTTTTTGGGTTCGTTCCTCTGTTTCGTCCTCGTCGGCGTGGAGTGATGAGTGTGTGTGTGGGTGTTTTTCTCTGTGCGGTCGCTGTCTGCTCCGTGTGTGTTTGTAGTTTACTGAAGTCGTGCTGGGACACCTGAGTGGATTTGTGTGTGGGGAGCTCTGGACTGTGGTGCGCGGTCGTTTTTTGATGCGGTTAGAGGCTTAAAGGTTGTATAGAGGATTTTTTAAGGAAAGAGAAATCCAGCGACAGTCCTTTTTCAAATGTAGTGCACGCGTGACACCACCTTCCTCCTCCACAGCCTCGAGAAATAATTTAGAGACCGACACCTCAGTTTTTAGACCCTTCGTCCGCTTCAGTCGCGCCATCGCTGGAAGGAATCTCCAAGAATCACCTCAGTTTGTCTTCGCTCCTTTTCTCTTCTCTTCTCTCTTCTCTTTCAGCGACCTCAAAAACCGACTTTCTTTTGCGGCGAACTGGTCGTCGGATTCTCGTCCGACATCGCAACAAACTTTATGCGAACTGCGAGAGCCACAATTAGAAAAAGCCTCTAAGACCCGCTGCATAGTTACCTTAGAAACGTAGGGAGTTTGATTGACAACCTGACAGCCAATAGAAAATGAGGCAGCCTCGTTTTCTATTGGCTGATGTTTATCTGGCCTCAACACGTCCACAGTTGATAGATTTTCTTTCTTTATTTTTTTGGTCATCATAATTACAAAGCTGCTGCGTCTCTGTAATGGTGTTTTAAACTTTCATTGACAATTTGAAACAAACAAAAAATCCTCCATACAACCTTTAAGAGCGCGTCTAATATACGGTAACTCGCACACTCACGACTAAACTATACGATTCCTGTCAGGTGCACTGATGTTACTCATATGAGGAAAACAGTGACTGAACTCTGCACCAAAACACACACTGACCCTGCGCTCGCCTTTAATAAAGTCTGTGGATGGTGATAAAAGTTAAGCAGCGTCGTCTCCTCCTGTCCTCACTCCTCTGTGCTGTTTTTATCTCCATAAACTCACAGAGTATCACATCTGTCTCACATCTGTCTCACTATTGAACAGATATTTCTGCCGCTGGACTTATTTTCTCCACAAAAAAAAGTGAATTTGAAAAGTGAATTTGCTGCTGTGTCCCTGATGCACTGTGGTTTGAATGTACGGTGTCTGTCTTTCTTTTTCTTTTATTATTTATAGATTGTGCACGACCGGAGATGTGCCAACTGAATTACCCTTTGGGATTAATAAAGATGTTGATTGATTGATTGATTGAAAGTGTTCGCTCTGCTGCATCACATAAACAAACAGCACCATGTGACCACGTCAGCGGGTCATTGCTTGGTTCGGTCGTGCAGGTGTGAGCGCAGGTCATAGAAAAGGTCACATCAACCTATTTCCAAATCCTGGGTTATTGATTATGACACGATTTTTGTCTAAACTTATTCTGGAGTTTCATTTTTTTTCCATTTTAATTCAATTTGATGTTAGTTTGTAGAAAGAAACTTCCTAAGAAAAATCCATGACTCAAGGGTGTCCAAACTACGGCCCGTGGGCCAAACGCGGCCCTCAGACAATTTTTTTCTTGGCCCTCAGGCTTCCAGAAAAATTGGCCCAAATTAAAAATGTATTTTTTACTGCAACTTTTTTGAGAATCTACCTTGATAAAGCGAATATTGAACATTTAGTGTGTGGTTTTAAGGATCTTAGCATGAACAAAGACTGAGGCTCATTCTAACGTGTTAAACATGCAAATATTTCAATTATTCACTGTACTGAGCTCCAGTTTACGGCCCTCGATCGACCTCTGCTTCGTCTGCGTTTAGAAATATGGCCCTTGATGAAAACAGTTTGGACTCCCCTGGTCTAACTCAACACCAGCATCACGCAGGAAAAGTACAGTCAAAATTACTTTGTTTTTTGTATAAAATTCATTCCAGTAAGTTTGTGTTGGTGTGTGGAAGTTCTGCACTGGAATAAACGTTCAAAACCAAAACCTACCCATTTTTTTTTTCTGTGCGCCTAAAATTTTTAACTTAAGGACCCGTGTGCTCCTGAAAAAAAAGTTATTTTAGATTCCTGATCTTGCCCATCGTAAATCGGAGGAGATCTTTGTAAAGTTTTGTCTGAACAAACGAGATGTAAAACAGCACCAAACCTCAGCGAGTTGGGAGCCCAGTCTCATGTTTAATGTGTTATGTCATTTCCATGGTCCTCAGAACGGTGCTCGCGGCCCCTGGGGTTGAGAAGCACTGTTGTAGCTCACAAGTGCACTGTGAATTTCTCTGATCTGGACAAGATTTTAAAACTTATGTCAGGTTCTTCTTCTTGTTTTATGATCTATTTACTCGTTCTGAGACGCTTCATTCTCGTCTGGAGGTCGTTTATTTGAAGAGAACTTGTCAAATAAAATGATCTGTCCACGCAGCGAGATAATTTCTACTTTTAAGACATTTTCTGATAGATTTAAGTGTTTATATTTGTCCAGGAGGAGTCTGTGGTAGAAGGTTTCTACGGCCGTCGTCTGGACACTGTTTTACAAACCAAGATGTTTTGATTTCCATCCAGAAGTAATTTTCAGTTTTCATTTCTAAAACATTGTCCATATGACGTCCACTGAACCATGACGTTGGAAAACCGATGAAACCTTTTCTAGCACGTTGAGATCCTGCTACTTCTGAGGTTTCTGCTCTTCATTGTTTCCGTAGTTTTAAGTTCACAGGAACCGCGCCGTCCTCCACGTGAAGCTGCAGCGTGGACCTTAGAGGAGACAGAGTTTCTCTTTGAGCGGGAGCGTCGTTTGCGTGTTCAGTGTTTGTTTGCGTGTGTCTGGTGTCGGTGTAACTGTGGAAACCTCCAGCAGAACAGTGTTTAAACGAGACGTGCTCCAGTGTCAGAGCCGACAGGTGCGCGGCGTCTGGGAGCCATTACTCTCAAGAGCCTGAGTGTTTCTGTGTGTGAGTGTGTGTGTGTGTGTGTGTGTGTGTGTGTGAAGGGGGTGGGGGGGCCTCACAGCGGGTGGGGTACACTCTCGAGCAGCTCTCTCCCGGCGTCGCCCCCCCGCCCTCCCTGACTCTGTGCTGTTTGTTTTGCAGTGGAGGAGGAAGAGGAGGATGAGGAGATGGAGGTGAAGCCCGGCCTGATGGAGGCGGAGCTGCAGGACGACGACGAAGCCAAGGAGACCAAAGACGGTAACACGACCCGACAATACACGTTTGGCACGATTTTTATTTCAGAAAACGTAGTCTGACCCAGGGCCCCACCGATACGGGCTCTTGGAAACATGTCGGTGATCGGTTTAAATCTTGCCGATATTTCCCGTGGTCATGTGATGTGATACGTCGTCCTAAAGCTCAGACTCTCTACATTCTGTTCATTTAATCCAATTTACAGACAGATAAATGTCCTCCATCTGTGTATCGTTCGTTCATTCATTTTTCAATATAAAACCAAAAATAAGAAAATGAAAAAACCAATTTTCTTCATTATTTGTCTCCAAAACCAAAATGAAAAAACAGATAATGATTAGTTTTTTCAGTTTTCGATTTTGTGTTTAAATGAAGAATGGAAAAAACAGATAACGACAGTTTCCTGTTTACGTGACGTCCGTGACTGCGATGCCGAACTTTTGCGCCGCATACGGACTGAACCAGGACTGATCCAGGTCCGGGACCACACCTGGTCACGGTCTCAGTCCCGGTCTCAGTCTCAGTCTGGTCCAGGTCTGGTCCCGGTCTGGTGCCGACCTGGTCTCGGTCTCAGTCCCAGTCTGGTCCCGGTCTGGTCCAGGTGTGGTCCCGGTCTCAGTCTTGGTCTGGTCCAGGTGTTGGTCCCGGTCTCAGTCTTGGTCTGGTCCAGGTGTGGTCCCGGACCCAGATCAGTCTTGGTTCAGTCCGTATGCGGTGCAAAAGTCCGGCATCGCAGTCAAGAACGTCACGTAAACAGGAAATGGTCGTTATCCGAACGAAAAGTTCACAGCCGTGGAGGATAAATATAAAACACTTTACAATGTCAGACAGAAACTTTACAAGAACAACTTTTGAAGGAAAAGACAGAGTTTTGGTCTTTGTAACATGTGGATGTAGAGATCAGAGTCCTGCTCTCACGCTCAGGTTTAGAGCTTGAGTTGAGCCGTGTTTTCTGGGATGTCCTCAGGTTGAGCAGTAATATTTGTCCTCGACTCGTTTGTCTTTGTACACGTCATGTTTTGTTTTGAACTTAGAAAGTTTCGTTCTTCCTGGTCCCTGCACTTCGCTGCAGTTTTCGCTCTTGTACGTCTTTGTCGTAAATGAAGTGAAGCCAAACGAACAGTCAGAGTCAGAGGATCAGTGAGTCGAGCGTGTGACCACATCACCTCCTGATCAGACGTCGTTATGAGAACATCAGGTCACTCACACTCGTCCTTCAAAATAAAAGCCCCGTGACCTTCCTGTGAGAAATGCTCCTCTAAAGATTAAAAGTCCAGGCTGTGCAGAAAACCCAGGAGAACTTCATCTGATGAGGTTTTTGACGCTTTTTACTCACAGTCAGTTTTTATACTAAAGGCTCGGTCGTCTTCTCTGTTCTCCACCACTTTTCATGTTTAACTCAGTGACTTTACACAGTGGAACTTTGGATTTTTTGAGGAATAAAAAAAAAAAAAAGTCTCCTAAGTGACTTGTATCTTGAAGAGAGAAGCTGGTGTGAGTCTCGTGAGGCGTTGGTCAGTGTGAGTCTCAGTATCAGATCGTGGGGGGGGGGGGGTCAGGGGTCGGGCTGTGGGGGTCTGTGGCATGTTCAGGTCAAACCTCATTAAACCCTCTTCATGTCGACTTCAAAGTCACTCAGACAAGACCAAGTTCACACACACGCAGACACACAGTGACAGTGAGTGTGTGTGTGTGTGTGTGTGTGTGTTCAGGCTGCAGCTCATCTTCATCTCCTCCTTTTAGGAAAGTTCCCACTAAACTCTGAGAGAAACAGCTCAGAGTCTTGATGAACTGGAGCGAAGCCACGTTGGTTTTATTCATCCACTTTTCTCTCTGCTCGTCTTTCTCCTTTGTGCGTCCGGGTCCTGGGGGAACAAAAATGCCTCAACCTTCATTTCCACACACACTTCCTCCAGCTGCTCCAGGGAACCCAGAGCTGCTCCCTGGGGTCTGCTTCCTTTTCCTACGTCCCTTCATTGCGACATGCTTCTGTTTCAGACCTGGGCCACATACGGCTTCTTGGTCCACACTGTCCGGACCCTTTCAGCTCGTGACATGACTTTGTTTTTGGGCAGCGTCACTTTTTTATTACTGGGTCAGAACATAAACTCTTCCCAGTCTGAGCAGCGCGTCTAAACAATGAGATTTACTGCTTTTTATAAAGAAATGTGATTAATATTATGTAGAATTATACTAAAAAAACTCTGGAGAGGAAAGTAAAGGAAACTGTTGGCCAAACCTCAGACAGATGTTTGTGTCCAAACACAAACTAGAAAATAACATCATAATGAACACAAAAATGTGTCTGTGTGTGTGTGTGTGTGTGTGTGTGTCTGTGTGTGTGTCATCTGTGTGTGTGTGTGTGTTTCTGTGTGCATGTGTGTGTCTGTGTGTGTGTGTGTGTGTTTCTGTGTGCATGTGTGTGTGTGTGTGTGTGTGTGTGTGTGTGTGTGTGTGTGTGTGTGTGTGTGTGTGTGTGTGTGTGTGTGTGTGTGTGTGTGTGTGTGTGTGTGTGTGTGTGTGTGTGTGTGTGTGTGTGTGTGTGTGTGTGTGTGTGTGTGTGTGTGTGTGTGTGTGTGTGTGTGTGTGTGTGTGTGTGTGTGTGTGTGTGTGTGTGTGTGTGTTGTTTGCTGTGTGTGTCTGTGTGTGTGTGTGTGTGTGTGTGTGTGTGTATGTGTGTGTGTGTGTGTGTGTGTGTGTGTGTGTGTGTGTGTGTGTGTGTGTGTGTGTGTGTGTGTGTGTGTGTGTGTGTGTGTGTGTGTGTGTGTGTGTGTGTGTGTGTGTGTGTGTGTGTGTGTGTGTGTCTGTGTGTGTGTTTGTGTGTGTGTGTGTGTGTGTGTCTGTGTGTCTGTGTGTGTGTGTGTGTGTGTGTGTGTCTGTGTGTGTGTGTGTGTGTGTGTGTGTGTGTGTGGTGTGACTGTGTGTGTCTGGGTGAACTGGTGCCTGGTGCCATGGACTGGTGCAGAAACTGCTGCTCAGGAAGGGTTAGACTGGTTTGGTTTAGTCCTGGTTTAGTCCTGGTTTAGTTGGTTTAGTTCTGGTTTAGACCTGGTTTGTCCTGGTTTAGTCCTGGTTTTCCTGGTTTAGTCCTGGTTTAGTCCTGGTTTAGTCCTGGTTTAGTCCTGGTTTAGTAGTTTCTGGTTTAGACCTGGTTTAGTCCTGGTTTAGTCCTGGTTTAGTCCTTAGTCTGGTTTAGTCCTGGTTTAGGTCCTGGTTTAGTTCTGGTTTAGACCTGGTTTAGTCCTGGTTTTAGTCCTGGTTTAGTTTGGTTTGGTTCTGGTTTGGTTTTGTTTAGTCCTGGTTTAGTCCTGGTTTAGTCCTGGTTTAGTCTGGTTTAGTTCTGGTTTAGTCCTGGTTTAGTCCTGGTTTTCCTAGTTCCTGGTTTTGGTTGTCTGGTTTAGTTGGTTTAGTTTGTTTGGTTGGTTTAGTCTGGTTTAGTCCTGGTTTAGTCCTGGTTTAGTTCTGGTTTAGTCCTGGTTTAGTTCTGGTTTAGTCCTGGTTTAGTCCTGGTTTGGTCAGATTTATGATTCGTCCTTTTTTACATCAAATAATTGAAAGTAACTAAGTAACTTTTACTCAGATTACATTTTAAATGAAGTATTTTACTTTTACTCGAGTAGATTTTTAGATGGTTACTTTTACTTGAGTAGGAATTAAGTAAAGTAAAGATATTTTTACTTCATTATAATTTTTCAGTCTTTTTTCCGCCTCTGGTCGCTCCAGTTTGTCCTGGGTTTTTCTTGGAGCCTCGTCCTGGTGGAGGAGGTGAGGAGATGAGGAGATGTGAGGAGATGTGAGGAGATGAGGAGATGTGAGGAGATGAGGAGATGTGAGGAGATGTGAGGAGATGTGAGGAGATGTGAGGAGATGTGAGGAGATGTGAGGAGATGAGGAGATGTGAGGAGATGTGAGGAGATGAGGAGATGAGGAGATGAGGAGATGTGAGGAGATGAGGAGATGTGAGGAGAATGAGGAGATGAGGAGAGGAGATGAGGAGATGAGGAGACGTGAGGAGAATGTGAGGAGATGTGAGGAGATGAGGAGATGTGAGGAGGTGTGAGGAGATGAGGAGATGTGAGGAGACGTGAGGAGATGTGAGGAGACGTGATGAGGTGTGAGGAGGTGTGAGAGGAGAGTGTGAGGAGATGTGAGGAGATGTGAGGAGATGTGAGGAGATGTGAGGAGGTGTGAGGAGATGTGAGGAGATGAGGAGATGTGAGGAGATGAGTGAGGAGATGTGAGGAGATGAGGAGATGAGGAAGTGAGGAGATGAGGAGATGAGGAGACGTGAGGAGATGTGAGGAGATGTGAGGAGATGAGGAGATGTGAGGAGGTGTGAGGAGATGTGAGGAGGTGTGAGGAGATGAGAGGTGTGAGGAGATGTGAGGAGGTGTGAGGAGGTGTGAGGAGATGAGGAGGTGTGAGGAGATGTGAGGAGGTGTGAGGAGATGAGGAGATGTGAGGAGACGTGAGGAGATGTGAGGAGATGAGGAGATGTGAGGAGGTGTGAGGAGATGTGAGGAGGTGTGAGGAGATGTGAGGAGACGTGAGGAGATGTGAGGAGATGTGAGGAGATGAGGGAGATGTGAGGAGGTGTGAGGAGATGTGAGGAGGTGTGAGGAGATGAGGAGATGAGGAGACGTGAGGAGACGTGAGGAGACGTGAGGAGATGTGAGGAGATGTGAGGAGATGTGAGGAGATGTGAGGAGATGTGAGGAGATGTGAGGAGATGTGAGGAGATGTGAGAGATGTGAGGAGATGTGAGGAGGAGTGAGAGGAGGAGGTGTGAGGAGATGTGAGGAGGTGTGAGGAGATGAGGAGATGTGAGGAGATGAGGAGATGTTGAGGAGATGTGAGGAGATGTGAGGAGATGAGGAGATGAGGAGGTGTGAGGAGATGAGGATGAGGAGATGAGGAGATGAGGGGTGTGAGGAGGTGTGAGGAGATGTGAGGAGATGTGAGGAGAATGAGGAGATGTGAGGAGATGTGAGGAGATGAGGAGG